AGTAATTTCTAAAAACAAAAAAAAAAATTGGAAAAAAAATTTTAAAAAGAAAATTTCCGAAAAAAAATTATGTAAAAAAAAAAAATATAAAATTAAATTTATAAAAAAAAATTGTGCAGAAACATTTTAAAAATAAAAACTTCGTTAAAGTTTTCTCATTTAAATAAAATTCCGAAATATAAAATTTTCTAGAAATTTTCATAAAAGAAACAAGAAAGACACAAATTATTTAGTTTAATTTCTTTTTATTTTTTAAAAACAAATCTTAAACCATATCGTTTCTTTACAAATTGAAACATCAGAAAATCATTGATATACAATCGATTTAAAATATAATACATAGAATAATCTTGACATCGCTTGAATAAAAAGTAAATACAATATTGTCCGCATACATTGGACGTAGGTGATTGAAAAACTTTGGAATTCCATTGTACATTTGAATAGGAAGAGGTATTCATATTATAAAATTCGGGAGGTCTTCCATAGGAGTCATAAAATTCTAATTCCTTTTTATCATTCACGAATAATGCAAGCCAGTGAGATCCTGGTCGGGATGAGTCATCTGCATTCATGATAGCACATGTATTTTCTTGTAGATTAGGAATCGTATCTCTTAAAAATACTCCTTGAAAGTAAGGTGATGTTATCTTCTCTCGTGATAAAATATGAAATATTTGTAATCCATCCATTCTTTAATTTCCGAAATCGTACAAAATATTTCGTGACTTGTTAATTTCTATTAAATTTTCAAATTCGGCGAAAATGATTACACACACAGTCTGCTCTAATGATTTGCTGAATTTCAGTTCTAATCGTAAGTTGCTGTGTTTGATTAGATTTAAATGCTCTCCAGAACATAAATCGGGGGAGAGATCAAATCCAAACAAAGTATTTCCTTTCACGTATTCTTCTCTCGAAATAAATATTCCTTTATCTTGACCCATTCGTTCTGTACCCACAAATAGAGTTTGATAGGCACGAATGTATTGATTTTTGGCAAAATCTAGTTCCAATGGATTGTGAGGTACAGGTTGCCCATCTACATACACTCCAATAAAATTTAAATCAAAGTGTTTAAAATCATAGGGAGATTTCGANATAAATGGTTATCCTCTAAAAATATTAAACATACGCACCCGGTACCATTCGTCATATATGCCGACTTCGAGTGTCTCACCAGGCCTTTAGACACGTGCCAACCCGACTCCAAAGGCTCTTACAGTGAGGCATATCAAAAACACGAGCCCATCAGCTTCTGCTACTACATAGCCTCGACGACGGGACCATACAAGGAACCTTTTATCTATCGGGGTCCTAATGCCGAGAAAATTTTTATGGAAAGAATGAAATTGGAGGCTGAAGATATTCACCGCATCTACAAGCATCCTCTACCTATGGACCCATTGGCCGAAGAGCAACAGCGAGTTTTCGATACTGCTACAAATTGCTATATGTGTAAAGAAAAGTTCTCCACGAATAATTATAAGGTAAGTGTTTTTTTTTTTTTATTTTTTTTTTACTCACATTAATTCTTAAAATATTATATTAAATATTATCATAAATATATCATTATTTTTTAATATTTTCCTTACGAAAAATTTGATTAAAATGAAAGTTTAGAAGGTTAAATCATTTGTTTTTAAATGTCCTACAAAAAATTTAATCTTTTTAGAAAAAAAAATTATTAGTAGTATTAGAATATCTTAATATCAAAGAGTTATATTTACTGTATAAATCAATTATTTTTAAAAGTACATTTCCTTTTTTATACACTTTGTTCGAAAATATTTTTACTGAGTGTTAAAATATCGTAACATGAGAGTGCTATATTTAGTTTTTAAAATATTATGTTAACTTAAAAATTATCTAATGAAGAGATTAACTTAGTATCAATACTAGAATTGTTTATTTAATTAAATAAAAATTCACAATTTTGAAGCATTTTTTTAAACATTTCAGTGATTTTTCCTGAATTGCGCTTCTAAGTTTCAATTACTCATTCTAAATATTTCATATCCTATTTACAATAAAAGTATAAATGTTTTTACTCTTAAACGTGGAGTTTAAAGACTAACAAAAATTAACATATAAATTTAAACTCATATGGGAAAAACCTTTTATTTAGTTATAAAACTGCTAGTTATTTCTTTTTCTAATGTTTATTCTTTTTTTAGGTGAGAGACCATGACCATCAAACCAAACAACTTCGCGGTATATCCTGCAATACATGCAACTTGAAGGCAAGGACACCTAACTTCATCCCGGTGATTTTTCACAACTTGTCCGGGTACGACAGTCATCTCTTCATTAAGGAATTAGGCGGAAACGATGGGGATATTACTGTCATACCAGAGAACACGGAGAAGTACATCTCCTTCTCAAAGCAAGTGGGAAACCGACTTAGTCTTCGATTTTTGGACTCTTTCCGATTCATGGCCAGCAGCCTGGACAAACTCACCCAGAACTTATCGGAAGACCAGTTCAGAACTTTCACGGGGTTTACATCCCTCTTCTGATTTTTGTTGTAATCCCATTTCATTTGTTCATGTGTCGAGTAGCTCGTTTGGGGGGGAGGAAGTAAGAGTTTGATTATATTAATTATTTATTTACAAAAATATTTACAGATATCATAATTGCACAGGCTCATTTGCGCGCACCTCTACGCTCTCTTACATTNATTTTGATATATTATAAGAACTTATCAAACCATCATCGCATTTTTGTGATTAGGTTGTTAGTAAGCCAGAGGCCAAAGGTGCCTTCAGAAACTTGTCTTTGATGTTCGTGAAAAATGACAAATCTTTATTTTGTTTGTGAGAATGAGTATTTTGCAAATGCTTCTGCTAACGGGAAGGCTCCATTGTCTCATTATATGAAACTTTGTTATAAAATAAATTCATGGGTAGTTGAGAGTTCGACAGCGATTGAACAAATCTAAACTTCAAGTACGTGGCACTGTATGGAATATACTTCTTTACGTTAACCGACATTGTTGGTGGCAGCAAAATACGAATTAAATCACCTGTTTTTTCAAATTAATAAATAATTTTCGATTAAGAACAATTCACAAACGTACCTGGCCACATAAACAATGAAATCGAATCGAAACTGGTTAAAAACTGCTAAGAAGCAAACTAAACCATCATAAGAAACACGGGTCAAATCGAATATTTTTACAAAAAGTGCGTGCACTTTAATTCTCCCTAAATGGCTTGAATGTAAGAGGCAAAAACTACTGACTCATGCGCTGTGCTGTGGTGATTCGGATCGGAGAATATGTGTTGCATAAGTTCGTTTTACTGCAGGTACTAATGTTGTATCAGATAATCTAAATTTATTATATTAATTTAATCTTTTTTTTCTTTATCATTATTTTTAGATTAATATTATTTACTAAATGATTCTTAATTTAATAATTTTATTTGGGAGTATTAAAATTAAATTTGAATAACATAACCTGCTCATCGCCCCCTACCGCCCAAAACTTACCTAACGCCCCCCTGCCGCCCAAAACAAGTCCAACGCCCCTCAGCATACTCCCAGCGCCCCCAGGGGGGCGTTATCGCCCCCGTTGAGAAACACTGGTCTATTTGAACACCGGGAGCTCATAACTTCGATGAATCTCATACGTTCAAAGAGTCACGAAGTATTCTCGATTACTTCCAATAAGTTGGCACTGTCTCCTCACGATCAGAAAAGACACGTCTTGGAAGACAGAATCAGCACCGTTCCATTTGGACATTATTCATTGCAGAATAGCTCATAATAAAAAATGGAATTAAAAAATAGAAATTAAAAAAAAAGATAAAATAAATGGAATAAGTAAGACCAGACAAAACTATAAATAGCCTTGAAAAAATTAT